GCAGCTGTTTTCATGAAACATGACACTTCTCTGTTTTGGTAGCAGATGTTTCCATTTGCTGATGTTAGGAAAAATCAATCTGTGTAACAAGCCGTGTAAATATATGTTGGAGTTACATCAGTGCAGTCAGAATAGATATACTGCAAATCGGTTTAAGGTGTCCTTCCAATATCTCATATATTTTAATGACTTTCTTTCCCTGGAAACACTGTGGATAATATGCATTAGATATGGCATATTAATCATCAAATCAAAGATTGTTTTAAATGTCTGTAAAGCTCAGTAAGCAGATATGAAGTGGTACTTCCACAAAGAGCTTTGTATTTGACAGGATATTGTGATATTTTGCTTCTTGGTGTCACTCACTCATCTCTAACTGATGGTTATTTTCTTATCAGTTCCAACTGGAGTGAAAGGAAAATGAATTAATGACATGACTCAGTTTCAGTGGGTTAAATTCCATTTGGGACATTAGAAAGCTCTCAGACTTCAAGCAACTTTTAAATGCACAATAAGGGAATCCATTGTTCTCAAGCAATAATAGTGCAAGTACCTACTCCAAGGCAGTTCACCTAAAATATTTGTTAGATGTTTTCCTAACTGGTTCCTAAAAGCCCATACTGATGGAAATTTCACAAACATCCTAAGCAATCTATTTTAGTGTTTAACTGTCCTTACAATTATCCTTATCCTAAATACACCATCCCAATAAAAATAATGATAATCGATATTAATTTATATTTCTCTACCACTTTTCACAGCAGTGATCTCAAAATCGTTCTCTAGATCCGGCACACTGCTTAAAGATTGGTAGTTAGGCACGTTAGTCTGAGGTTAGGCAGATGCAGCATAGATAAGCACCCTATTGACTAAATAAGGTATATAAAGAGCATAAACTTTTGTGAACTTGAGCTCACTTTATCAAATGCTGTGAAAGGACAAGCACAGAGCAGTGTACAAAGCAGGGGGTAGTGATTTGAATACAAAAGGTGGGAAGGGGAGAGAGAGGAAAGGTGGGAATGGACAGAAGGCCAGGTATGGGAGAGGTATACAAGCAAAGAGCCTTTACTAGGAACAAAGGGTGTGTGTGGGGGTGTGTGTGCATACTATATATCTTATTTAGTTAATCTATAAGGTACAGATCTATCCTGCCTTTTACATTGCTGAAACCCATATTCCTATTACACCACTGAAATGCAGCCACTTCTGGAGTGAAGAGCATAACAGTAAGGTAAAGAGAAGTTTTGACTGTGGGCAAATAGTAAATTTCCTAGAAAAAGGTTATTTGGGATCTTCAACATTCATACTAAGAAGAGGGGGTAGTTTGTGAGGCCTGCCACATAGTTTTTAAGACTTGCCATGAAACTAATTACCTTGGAAGAATGAAGAGTGAATCAGCGATGGCTGGATTTTTAAAACAGATTCGAGGAACTTGAAACATTTCACCTCTTCTGCTTAGTATTCATAAGCAATTCCCTCTGGCTTTTTTTTAGACCATGCTTTAAACACTAACCTGTTGGATTAGACATCACAAGGGAAAGAATTATATAGGACTTGGTTAAAAGTGAACCAAGAAACTTTTAGTCATTTTCATTTAAGATGAGAGAGGATAGTAGATTTTTACACAGGCAAAAAGGAAAGGGGAATTGAGATAAAGTAAACATCTCAATTGTAGACAGCTATACAATGAAGCTACATGCATTATAGCTGACATTTATAGTTGTGAAATGTATGTTGACCTCCATAGTCATTAGCAAAGCTTTTAAGATAAACCTATCAAAGATAATTGAATTCTGGCGAGGATCAATTTCTGTGCGAGATTCCATTCCCCCGACTTTGCATGCGTGCCTATAAATCTTATGACCCTTTGGAGACAGGTACCACTGATGTCCGTGTGCTAAAGGACCCTCATTGTTTTATGACTGCCAAAGCAATATTTATAGCTTCAGCCCTTAGATACTCATTTTCTGAAGGGCTTTTTTGCCATCATTGACAAATTAACGAATATGCAAAGATATGCACGAGTCGACACCATCCTGAGTCAGAGCTAGATAGAATAGGTCTTTTTTTGTCAAAACAATATGTGTGGTTGAAAAAATGAGGTCTTGATAATGATATAATTCTTGCTGAAGTGTCAATACTGTCAACATTTTTCTTATTAGTAACTTTTAAAACAAACAAACAAACAGAAAGGAATTCCTCATTCCCTTTGGCTTTCTCCCTATTTTTCTCAGTGGAAAAAACAAAATAGCATACAAGTAAAGAGTTAGTAAGTGAGAGTTTTTCCTTTTTTGGTGTCTCTTTCTCTGAAGAAAGGAAAGGGGGGAAGCAGTAAGAGAAATAGAAATGGAAGCAACAATTCAAAATGTTTTTCAAAACAAAATGAACGTTTTTATTCCATAACATTTTCCATGATGAAATGGGGGGTGCGGGGAAGGAAGGAATGGGAAAAGTTGTGAAAGCCTTGGAATGAAACAAACTTTCCTGGTTTTTGCATCCTTTTAGGTGCAGACAGAAGTTACATTTTTTGCATGGTCGGGCCCCTGAAAGTGCTCTATAGCCATGCCATGAGACACGTGCATGGCTGAAGAGTGCTTTGAATGAGGCCAGTCGTGCAAAAACCTAACCCTCCTCTAATGAGGTATCAGATGAAGGTGCTCCACTTTAGAGTACTTTAGGGTTTATTTTTTGTACAATTGGAGCTGGGCTGATGCAGCCCAGCCCTGCCCCCGGGGCTGTCATCAGGAAGGGAGGGACAAGCCAGCAGCATTAAGCTTATCCTTTCATGAGCTGCTGGCTTGTCCAGCCTGAGCTGCAGGGGGTAAGTGGTGGATTGGAGCCCCCCACCTCACTCCCTCTTCTAGCCCCCATGGTTGGGGTACTGGGGAGAGCTGGGCCAGGCCCATGAGGCAGGGGGGCTTTGATCTACCCCCTGCCCCCTCCAGCTCAGGCCAGGCAAGCCAGCAACTCATGAAAGGAGCAGCTCGCTGCTGCTGGCTTGCCCCTCCTTCCTCCTCCTCTACCCCCCCGATGACAGCCCCAGAGCTGGGGGTGGCAGGGCTGGGGAGAGGGGTGGATCCTTGGTTTGCTAGGCAGGCTTGATGCCCTCTCCCCACCCCCATCCAACAGGGGAGTTAGATTGGGGTGGTCTGTTAGGTTGCGGGGGAGGAGGGGGCACTTGTAAAGCGCCACGAGTTAGAGCAGGGGCCTGAACATCTGTCAGTGCCCTTGGTGAACTCTTTCTCTTGTTCCTCTAACCCTGCTCTCCCCATTTTGACCATCTCTGCTGTTGGTGAAGTTCTCACAGCGCTAGGCCTCATACTTTGCATTTCTATCTAGGCAAAACTAGCCATGCACAGTTGCCTCTGGAATATATCAAAGTCAGGATGCGAGAGCTTATGTAGCGGTGTGGCTGGATGCCAGGTAGCTATTACTTGAGGAATTTGATGTGTACTTGCTATGGGTTGTGAGTAGATATGCAGTCAGTCTGACTGAAGGTAGAAGCGACTGGAGTAGGTTCAACCTCGTTCATAACTGTGTAAATGGAACGCTGTGCTATTAAAGGGTAAAAGCAACTGCCTCAATGTGACTCCTATAAACTATGACTAAATCTTTTCTTTTTTTTTTTAATTTCTATTTCTGGGGGTTGGCTTGGTATTTCCTTTGTAAAATATAGCTTCTCCTTGCCCCCTGCCTTGTTGCTGGTATAAGCACAGAAGACAAGCTGTGAATAAGAAACCTTGTTTATTAGACCGTTCCATTTTCAGCCTCTGGGCCAGCGGGCAGATTTAACTCCCATGTACTTTGTCTTTTTGGGCTTAATGAACCTTATCTAAGGACTCCCAATCGCTTCAGAAGGCTTTGGACCAGACCCCATGAGCGTGAAATGACTTCAGTCATTGTAGGAGATGTTGATGTCTGCCCATGTAGGCCTAGGTGCCCTTTGCATCCATAATACTGACTTCTGAGTGTTTGGAATGTGCTAGGGCTCCTGAAATACCAGTAATGACTTGATTATCTTTATCATTCATACATAAAAACTCTCTCTCAGAAATTGCACTTCTGCAGTTGCAGATTTAACTCCCCTTATGTTTTCAATGTACAGACCTCAGCTGCAAGGAGAATAGCCAATTATTCTGTGTGCTTTGGAAACAAAAAATCAATTGGATGCATTTGCTTCTGGTACATTGCCATCTGCCTCCACTTTCTACTCCCTTGAATTAACTGTACATTGAAGAATCATGATCACACAATCAGACTTCATTACACAAATTGAAATAACCATAATTTCCAAAGTTTTGCATGACACTCTTCCTATTTTAATGGAGAATCGCTCTAATCAGGTTACCGGAGTGTGAACATACCTATGTGAAAGCATGGAGAAGTGCAATCTCATTCTCTTCAGACTATAGACTGAGTAAATAAAATGATCAGAGATGTCTAAACTGCCTGATGTGGGAATAGGTAGCGTCTTCCTTGTGTTTCCATCTTTCTCCCTATCTTCTTGATATCACAACATCTAGAGAGCTTATTCCTTCCTCCCCAGTCAGATAACAGCAAATGGTCAGAGTGGATCTGAGTTCTGGTGTTTTGGCTGTCCAGTGAAATATGTCCAGCATTGCAAAAAATAATTTGGGGTTGAAGAAAACTTAAAAATATATATAACTTAAACACTGACTTTTTTATTCCTCATGTTTTTCATCATTTGTTCATCAAACTCAGCAGCAGGGTATTTTTGCTTAAAAGGGACACTGGTTTTTCTTAGCTGGAATATAGATGGGTTCATTGGCATATAGTCATGATATTAAGTCAGGGGGGCCAGGCCCACAGATTTGTGATTTGGGGTAGTCAAGCTTGGAGGTTGGAGTGGACTCCAGGGATCAGGGTCTCCGAAAGCCATCATTACTTCCTGTTGGATACGCCCAGCTTTTCCTGCCTTTGTCGGGAGTTTCCCTGAGTGGCACTTTAATATTTCTTTTGTGTTTTCATCTGTTTTGCAGCTTCCCCATTTATCATTGCCATGCTCCTAGCAAGTTTAAACAGCTGTTGCAATCCCTGGATCTACATGCTTTACACAGGCCATCTCTTCCATGACCTTATGCAACGGTTCCTCTGCTGTTCTACCCGTTACTTAAAATCCCGGCAAAGATGTGACCTTAGCGGCAGCAAGAAAAGCAACTCCTCCTCGTTTGTCCTGAGTCGTAAGAGCTCCAGTCAGAGGAGCTTCACGCAACCTTCTATGGCATAAAGACTCATCCAGGACAGTTTAGACTTCAATACCACTTTGCTCTGTCTTCAGCATCTATTTGTACAAAGGCTGATTCAGAATGTATGGCGGTTCTTATGTGTGTACATATATGTATGTGCGTGTGTGCGATTGTATGCGTGTGTTGAATTTTTTATTTATCTGAGGCAGGAAGAAGAAAAGAACTTCTGTAGTCAAAAGTCTGGTATGGAATAGGTACTTTAATTGGGTTTAATTCAGTGGACAAGATCCTGAAGCCTTTAGTCACTGAAATCAATGGGGTTTTTACATAATGACTAAGTATCAACTGTGACATCTTACTTACCTGACTAGGCTTACTGAAGTTGATGAATCAAAGTTATTACTCCCAAGTTTAAGGGGATATTACTGAGTTGCAGCAGAGCTGATCTACAAAAACTGAGTTCTCTCTGGACTATTCTTACTCAGGTGAGTATTGCTCATTGATTTCAGCATGAGCATTGGTATGGGCACATGAACAAGTTATCCTAAAGTAAGTTAGAAGGTGGACATCCAGCATATCATCTACTTTGCAGCAATGGACTATGTGCACAGTCTTATTCTGTGGTAAATGTAGATGTAGTTTGCCTCACATTCATTGAGAGGAAAGCTGTTTTGCAGGTACTATGAGATATCTTGTTAACAGGTCTTCAGTGTGTATAAGGCCTTGCAGGATCCTGACTTAGGTCCTTGTATAAAAATAATACCCACTGACTTCAAGAGAGTATTGGCTCAGTAAAGATATAGGGGTTTGATTCTGCAGCAACTTATGTACACGCTTAACTTGAAGAATCTCAGTTGGCCCCATGCACTTCAGTGGGACTATTCACGTGGTTCAACTTAAGCATGTGCATAAGTGATTGTGGGATCATGTGTTTGTTCAATAACACGTGTACTAATTATGTTCAAAAGCTTTCTCTAAGATGGTGAAATCTGGTGTCCATCAAACTCAATGGCAAAACTCCCATGGATCTTCCTGGGTCCAGGATTTTATTCTTCAGTTATTGTATATATTATTACATCACTATAATTTTTTTCCTGTAAGGCACAAGATTCATGCTTTTGGCATGAATTTTTTAAAGTATTTTCTTGTAAATGAAATTGTATTAATTCAGCTTCAAGGAAAGCGCAAGCTCTGTAAAAAAAAAAAAAAAAAAAAAAAAAAAATGGAGGAAACTTAGTGGAAAAAATGCTTCATAGTAATATATCCATTGTACTGAATGCTTTTGTTTAGACCCATGCACCAACACTTATAAACTATTCAGCCTTTTATTATATGGGCATAAGGTTAGTATGGACACAATTTTTGGAAACGGCAAATACATATGGCAAGATCCTGCTCCCAGTGACATCAATGTAAGTTTCCTTTTGGATTCAATGGCTGCAGGATTAGTCAACCTGAAGACTGATCCTTCTAACCTTTGCTCATGTGATCAGTCCTTTCTTATGTGAGTAGTTCCCAAATGAATGAGACTGCTTGCCTAAGCAATGATTACACATGGGCAAAGGTTTATGGGATTTGAACCTGTATCTTTGGAACAAATATAAATACTTCATGTAGAAATGTACTGGTTTTGTTTGTTCATTGTTGTTCACAGATCCATTTTCAGCTTTCAGATTTCTAGGTTTGGTTGTGGTGTTCATTTAATTTTCACTGACTTTTAAGCACAATTCCACAAGCTGATCAAATATGGAGTACTTATTCCTCCTTTGTTTGCTTTTCTGGTTTAAGGTTTCTTATACACCAAAGTAGTGAAGTATTGGAGTGCGGCACTTAAAAAAAATTCCTTGAGTATAATTGGGTAATGTTTAGATTTTTTCCATATCTGCACTGCCCAAGGAAAGGAATGTAATTTTACTTTAAAGGTTTTATCATAATCATTGACAAAATTCTATTTTAATACATCTAGAAATATAAGGCTTCATTTGTCACCACTGAGTCCTCATTTTAAGCTGGTTAAAATCCATTCATTTCAATGTGCTTACAGCAGTGCAATGGTGTGATCAGATTACTATAGCAGTGAATCAGTTCCATCTCTGCATTATAGTCCAGTCCTGAAATTGCTGTAGGACAAATTTCAGATTCATTTTTCAGGCAAAACTCAAAGGTTATTTTGGCTGAGAAAAGATCAGCCTTAGATAACAATTTTGTGAGATTGGAAAGGGAGCAATAATTAGTAGGGCTGTGCAAAATTTCAATGGATGTTTCATTTCGAAGGTGCTTCAACGCGTTTTGAGCTCAAAACACTGAAACTGAAACGAAACGCAAGGCTTCAAAACAACTTTGAAATGAAACGAGGGCACTCAAAACATTTTGAAAATTTTGAAGAGTTTTGAAGCTGAGCTTGCAGGGAAATACAAACTAAGGCGAGGGAGGGGAAGGAGGGGGGGAAGGACTGCTCTCATATTGACTGTGTAGCTGGCCAGTGATGGTGATCCTTCCCGGAGGTCACTTCCAATCCCAGTGCTCTGGGGGAGGGACAGAGAAGCAGCATAAAAGCATTGTTTGAAATTAGCTTTGTCAGCCGTGCCTTTGTCAGCTTACTGAGCTGTGTCTTCTAGGAGCATCAGGAAGGCTCTTGCTTCCTACTTGCTAGTCTGTTCCTAGCAAGTGGGATCCAATACTTTCCAAAATACCCTAATACCCTTTCCTAATCCATTCCTTTCAATTTATTCCTCCCCCAAAATCTTCTTTTTTTTTTGTTATTCTCTGTAATTTTTCTCCACATAAAAGAAATCTGTGTTTTCCCTGAAAGCTGGCAGGCTTCATGGCCCCACCAGGGGCTACTATGCCTACAGTTTTCATTCCCCTGTGCCTTCACACTCATACGTCATGAGTTTTGCTCTGAACAGTTTGAGGTGTGGTTTCTCAGGAACCCATGTACCTATCTCCTTGAAACTTGACAGGCTTTGTGGCCTCAGCAGGGGCTACCACCCCCACTGTTTTCATCTGAATCAGGCAAGAAATGGCAAAGTTATAGGCATTTTTGTGATTCCCCATTATAGCCTGTGGGCGAATGCCAAAACGCATCGAAACAGCAAAACAGTTTCGGTGAAACAAAACGGAAGAGTGCTTCGAAACAGCAAAACACCGTTTCTTCAAAACGGTGGACCTGAAATTGAAACAAAATCTTGCCATTTTGCGCAGCCCTAATAATTAGGCATTATAGACAACGTTTTGAAGCCATTATTTAGTCACAACTAAAGTCCATTGATGCCAGCGGGAGGTTTGCTCTGAGTAACGGCTCAGAGGGAAGGTCAGATGTTGGCTTTCCATACCCAGTACACCAGGAAATATAAACCAGTGCAAGACTCCCAGGAAAAATATGGAATGGATGGAAGGAAGAGTGGAACAAAACCCACAGTGGACCTGGATTCTCCACTGCTCTGTTCATTGTGGAGTCATTTACACCTATGCCCAGTGGTACTAACATATCGATCCCAGCAGGATGGGGATGCTTGACATTCACCTTTGGTGTAGTGGACAAGGCAGTGGAAAATTGGGTTTCAGCAGGGCAAATTAGTTCCAGCAGAGTGCAGTGCTGATGCAGCCAAATGTTTCTGGTACTTGCATTTCTCCATACAGAACTGCATTGTGACATGTAGACATACCTATTCAGTCCCTTGCCCTTCAAATAAGAAGGGAGATGAATGTTCAGTTTGTAGAGAGTAGCTGGAAATCACAACATGCAGTCTGGGCTGCCCAGTTTGGAGTACTATGTGGTGGGATTTGGGGCTTTGGTTGGGCTCAGTATAAGGATTGGTTTCTGACTTGTCCCAGCATTTGTGCATCATCCCATTTGGGTTTTGGTTTGACCCTTTCTGTAGTTTGAACAAAGAACAAATGCTTTGAATTCTTGCAGTTAACTAGATGCAAATCCCATGCTGACATTTACAGCCTTTCATCTGTTTGCCCCTTGGCTGCATCAGCATCCTGCGTATTATAGGAAGTGACGGGTGATCTTTCCAGAAATGGTTTGCAAACAGGAAGTCACAGAACTGACTCTGATTATATTTTAATGCTAGGGAATATTAGAGCCAAAGCTAGATACAATCCTACAACCGAGAGAGTCGGCTTACTGCCCCTCATGGGATCTCTGTATTGAGGGGAGCAGTGCAGAGAAAGAGCAGCCAGCACCGGTCCACTCTGCCTTCTTTTCGTAGTAAATGATTAATACTAGGGCAGGCATGGGGTATGGCTAGAGCAGGGTGTACAGCATACGGCCTGTGAGCCACGTGTGAACGACCAAGGCAATCCCAGTGGTCTGCCCTATTTATTTATTAAACCACTCTATTAAATGAACAATTTGAAAAGCAAAGCAGTGAGTCTTGTATCCTTGCTGTGTGGTGCTTTATTAGTCTGTGCCTGTGCTTGCATGTGTGGTCAAGTTTCCTGGTTGTGAAAGTGCTGAGGGCTTACAAATGAGCAGAGCAGACAGCACTAGCGGTGTCCCACCAGCGCACCTGGCAAGTGGCCCTTGAAGCCATTGCTCTGACATCTTGCCCTCCTTCGTCCTCATGCACACACAAGGTGCCAGGCAGCAAGGCTGGAAGGGGGAGGATAAACCACTGGAAAAGCATGTGATGCACCTGGCCTCCTCCATCCTGCAGGTGGAAAAGCTCTGGGGAAGCCACTATTCACTGCCCATGGGATTGTGAAGCCCTTTGGCTGAATTGCCTTAAAATGGATGCTTCCTGACATCCCCTGTGCCTGAAATGGCCAACGTTAGAACCCCTCACATAAAGCGAAGGGAGAAGAAGCAAAATGTGGTACAAGAGAAAATGCCATCCATTGCCCTTGAAATGGTTTGGAAAGAACAGTAGTTCACGCACAACGTGGTATAGGTTGCACGCAGGCCTTTCCAGTTCTTCAAGGCAATTACCTAAGAGCATGGCCATGGGATGAGATTAGGCTTTTCAGATTCAAGCCAATCATCATCAGAACAAAACACTCAGAAAATTCCTTGGGTCACTTTTTGTTATAACTTTTTATTACAATGAGAAAACTTAAAAAAAAAAAAAAAAAAAAAAAGAGAGCAAAATTCTCAGATAGATTTTTTTTTCCACCGGATGCCCTTATTTTTTGGGTTAAAAAAAAAAAAAAAAAAGAGAGCAATATTCTCAGATAGATTTTCTTTTCCAGCAGATGCACTTATTGTTTGGGTTTTTTCCTCATTGATTGCTCCTTTTTAATGGGTAGGAGTGTTTAGTGCTCTCACTATGGAACATACAGCCCAGTCCCCAAAGTCATCGGTAGCACCAGTAGAGACTTAGGCTGTTGGTAGTCCCTGCAGTATAATCAGGAGAGAATTTGGCTCCTGGTACTTCAGGGAAGCCTGAAGTGAGCAAGACAGCATGAATCCTGTCACAAGTAGTGGCGGGACAATGAG